TGCTGAATTCAAGGCTGGCTTGGACAGTGCTCAACTGGGTTCAGAGAAATTACTTATGAGATAATTGTAGTCTACTTGTTGGTTACCTGTAGCGATTAAAAGAAAGAAGAAAGGATGTTTGAAGAGATGCCGAAAAGGCATAGCAGCAAGACTTAGTGACCGATTTGGAGCAGGTGACAGAGGCCTATGGAGGGAGTCTGGCTTCCAAGTACTGCTTTTCCAGATGTATATGGATTCAGATGATGTTGGGGTATAACCAGGAATGAAGAAGGAAAAATATGTTGGGTGATAATGAGTTGAATTGTTGTGATATTGATTCAAGACATCAAAGTAGAGAAATCTGAGAAGTTAGTGTGATTATTATTATCATCATCATTATTATTATTATCTGTTAATTTTGAGTCAAGGTCTCACTGCATACTATGTATCCCAAGCTGACCTTGAACCCATAATTATCCGTCCTTGGCCTCCCAAGTGCTAGAGTTACAGATGTATGCATTGTGTTTCATATGGTGTGATTTTAAAAATATAGTTTAATATAATATAATATAATAATATAATGTAATATAATATGATACTGAGCAAGAGCATGAGAGAAAGAGAGGTGGTAGATGGTAATATTATCTATAACCAAACCTTTCTCTTCCTGAATCTTATGTCTTGATTGGTAGACCACTGTGAGATTTATCATAACTTTTCCACAATCCTATATTCCACATTAAAGCAGCCATTAAATCCTGCCATTTAGTTTTTCTTCCTATCATTACTGTCTTGGACCTAACTCCCATTATCATCTTGAAGATTGGCCAATGTCTGTTTTCCTAATATTACATCTCTCCCCTTTTCAACACTCTCTATTCTTTTCTGTAATGCATATCTGATAACGTAACCCCCTCCCCCCAGTCTCTGTTACTTTCATGGAAACAAGCACACACAGCCCTAAGGAACATTCTGTGATCCACTTCCTTTTCTGTCTCCTTCTGACCATCAATATTTATAGTTACTTACTGTTCTATTCAACACTGGTTTCCCAGGCCTTTGAATTAAACTGTGGAATGCCTCCTATTTCATGTTTCCTCTCTAAAATTATGTCATGCAAACAGAATAGATACTAGTTGCTCTGTGTTGATCCTATACTCTGTGCAGAGCTTATCTATAATACCTGCCATGCTTAGTCTCGTCATTTCTATGTAGTTCTCCTTCAAGACCAAGCTTACATATCATGGAATCAGCTGCAGGAATTAGGAGAGTATAAGTTATAACTCCATGTTTAGTGCTAAAAAGGTGCTAGACATTTACTTATTAAACAGACAATCTGGTTAGTGGTCACTTACCTCTCTGTTGAAGGAACCCATCTCTATACTTATTTGATGTCAAGAAGGAAAACTTGTGTAAGTTTCCCGCAGACAGTAGCTATGCTCTCCTTTTGGGGCTTCCAAGTTCAACCATTAACCATTGGAAAAAAAATAATATTTCTTGGCAACTAAATTTCTGAAAAGGCTGGTAAGAAATGCTATAATTCTGTTCTTTATATAGGATAATGGAATTTTTTTTTTTTACTTTTTTCTTAGGAATAATGAAAGTAAGAAAAGCATGGACTTACTGTGAAAAAACATATGCAAATACTGGATAGACTGGTGCTTGATTGATGTGTGTATGTGTGGTTTATATGGGGTCTCTGGCACCTCTTATCTCTCCATATGTGTATATTAGACTATAATAAAGAAAATACTTGCATTAAATTGAAAGTACTACTAAAGGTACAGCCATTAGCTCCTCTACTTTAATGTAGTAAACTCATCTCCCCATAAGACATGCTTATGAGACACAAAAAGCCAACTGTCCACTGCACAGAAAAAAAGGAAAATCAAGTGGATGATTGCACTCAGTGGCTAATGAATTATTCAAGATTGTTTGTGTCAGTGCCTGGCTTGGTTTGGATGGAGGCAGGGATAACAAACCGAGTGTTCCAAACCACTGCAGCTGGTCTGTACCAAGAGGGTAGTTCAAATGGGGGCCCATGGTGCCTTAGCTCAAATTCAATTCATAAAGTGATAACATTTTATAAATAGGGATTTAGGGCATTTTGCAAGAGAATGCTACAATATTAGGGGGAACACATTATGGCCATAATGTAGCAATAATTATGGCAATATGGATGTGCATTTTTATGGTACTTAGGTTTTTAATGGGCTGTCATATGCTTCATTTCATTTATGATCTGGTTTGTAGTTAGAATTACTTAAACACATTTAGAGAAAATTTTGCCTGTGCAATGGTGGAGCTGGTATTGAAATAAGTATTCCCTGTCTCTCTTTTGATATCCTCAGCTCACACAACAGGAAGGTTCTGGGCATATGGTTTTAATTTTGCTGGATCATCAGAATGAGATGCATTTTCAGGGTGCTGGATTGACCACCCACTTCTTTATTAGAGAGAGATTTTTCTCTAGTGGTTTATTACATATCAGAGGCTCCTGTGAAACAGGAGAGGATTCCAGTTAGACAGATTTGGTTACCCAATGTCTTCATGGTTGGTGAGAGTATATATTAGAGGCAGGGCTGTGAGTAAGAAGCAGGCTGGATGTCTGAATCCACTTATTCCTCATAATGTAATATCAGGCTTGATTGATTAAAAAGAAGAGAAAAGCATTAGTATATCAGTGAGTTTACTTTCATCCAGATGCCTGAAAACTGTTAGTTGTTGAAAGTGTTATATACACTCTATTTTACGCCAATTGTTTCCAGTAGAGTTGCTGCTAAGTCTAATCCTGTAAAAGTCCAGCCACAAACATGAGGAGAAATAGGATCCTGTGTGAGGGTATAAAGTCAACATCTCATCCATCCTCCTTCTTTCCCTCTATTCCTCTTTTATTGAAGAAAATTTCAGTTTTTAAATAGCAGTATTCAGGCATTTCTCTTTGGCATCTGTAAAGCTTAAAACTTCGTTCACAGAAACACGGATTTTTTTTTTTCAGCGTTCTACTCTGGTGTCTTGTTTCCCCTTCATTCATTTTGACTTTCAAATGAACTTCTTCCCTTCTGGTTGTAGGCATAGAACACAGATGCTCTGTTCTGTGCTTTTGTTTCTTTGTTTGAGGCAGAGTCTCCCCGTGCAGCTCAGCTGACCTTGAATTCAAGATTCTCCTGCCTCACCTTTCTTGGATATACATGTGTACTACTATGTGTAGTCAATGTATTTTTTTATTAATAAAAGTACTATTTATTTCAAGTGGCATTTTTTTTTTAGTTCAAACACAAACATCTTTTTCATTTTCCTGTATTTCAACAGCATATAGTAACTTCAACATGGTTCTCAGCCCTTGGGGCTAAGGAATATGTCATTAGCTTAGTTTAGGGACTGTTCATTATGATGAGCTCTTTTAGAATATATTTTAGTACTTGCAAAACAACAGTTATAAAGGAAAATTAGCTTAATTTTATCTTCATGATTCTCCACTGAGAGTATCAGTGTCTCTGATGGCTTGTGCTTTGGAACACTTCCTCTGACCTTTGTCCATTTCATAAGTCATTGTGCACTGAAACTCATTGTGTTGAAGCTTTTTCTGAAGACTCTGTGTCTTCCATATACCAGTGTGCCTGTGGAGTTGTTGAGCAAACCCTGGCCAACGCTAGGATCTCCTGGGAGTTACACTTCTTCACCCGAGTACTAGGAGTACACACCATTGAGGCTGGGTCATGGGTGTCTGGAGTTCTAACTTTTAGATGGTCCTTAAACTTCATTTTTGAGAAAGACTGAGTCATTGAGTCAGTTTATTTTGAATAGAATTCTGTAACATTCTTTCTTCAGTTATGGGGCATTCTAAAGCTGCATAAAAACTGTAGGCAAGGCCTGAGGCCAGAGAATGGCAATTTCAAGGCCTGTCTGGGCTATAGAGTGAGTTCAAGTTCAGTTTGAGAACTTAATGAAACCCTATCTCAAAATAAAAAGTGAAAAGAAGGATGCAGACATATATAGCTCGGTGGGAGAGTGCTTACATGCTATATCTGAAGCTCCGAGTTCAATCCCCAGTACATAACAGCATTCAAACAAAACACCAACACAGACAAAAGGCTCTGATGCAGGTGGTTATGAAGTCTTTGACATTGTAGAATCAATAACGATGCATGTGATGTTGCCCATGTAATTTAATGCAATGCTCTCTTTGCTGCAGGTTTATTAATGTGGTGTATTCTATGTTAACATGTCATTTTTAACATGATCTTTCTCAAGAATCTCCTACTTAATAGGAACAATACGAACAACTCAAATTGCAATATTTTTTTCTAGTGTTAATTTCTATTTTATTTATTTATTTATTTTTATTTTATATGCACTGGTGTTTTGCCATGGGTGTTAGGTCCCCTGGAACTGGAGTGACAGTCAGTTGCAAGCTGCCATGTGGGTGCTGGGAATTGAACCCCAGTCCTCTAGAAGAACAGCCAGTGCTCTTAACCATTGGGCCATCTCTCCAGCTCCCACTAGTGTTAATTTCTGTGATATAATAGTTGCTTCCATTTGAGACCACATTTTGTAGGTCTTTTTATTGATGAAAAATTTCAGGATACTTAGAAAATACAGTTTAATTCACCCTCTTCATAATGGCCAGCATTTGATGGTGTTAATATTGATGTTGAAGCCGATACTGATTTTGCAGTTTTCAGAAGTTCTGGGATTAATTTCAGCATCAGATCATTTTTAAAATTAATGTAATTTCTCTGAAAGTGAAAATGAATGGGCAACATGCAGAAACTTAGGCAAGCCTTTATTAACCCTACCTAGGTAAAAGAGTGGTACACTTTAGTGAGGATATTATGTAATAACAGATCAGTTACTGACATAAGCTTTCTCTCTGAATTTTGTAAATACCTCTTTCATAGATGGGTCTAGTTTTCTTCAGACAGGGAAAACATTGAAAGACTGGAGATTAGAAGAATTACCATGGAGCCCAATTTAAAATCCCACAATGCCTTCATCTATTATTTCTTGTTTGCTTTCAGGGACTTTCTTCCTCGAGGCTCAGGCATCGTAACCAGACGACCTCTTGTACTCCAGCTTGTCACCTCTAAAGCAGGTAATTAGTGAAGACTTTACTGGGGGGATGTGCGCACCCCATGGCAATTGTCATTTTCATTCCTGGGCACTAGATGTAGCAACAAAACCATTTCTACAGCCACTCTGGTATGAGCAGCTGCCTGCATTTCTCTCTAGAATGCTCTCCTGTCCATTATTCTTTGATCCCTTTGGTTACATTGAAAGGAAGTCTTGCATGCATATAAAATTTTAACACTATTTTCTTAGGCCAAAAAGATATTTGTTTATTGTAATCCATCTATATAAGTTCATAGTATCAGATTATCATGAATGCTCCTTTTGTGTGTACTCTTTCTGCATGTACGTATATTATATGTGTGACTATTTTGTCATAAAATTAATTATTTAGGGAACTAGAGAGATAGCTCAGTGGTTAAAAGCACTTCCTCCTCTTTGAGAGGACCTGAGTTTTTAGTTCCTGGCACCCACATCAGGTGGCTCCAACCACTTGTACCTTCAAGTCCAGGGGCTCCAATATCCTCTCTCGGCCTTTGTGGACACTGTACTCACACGTACATACTCACACCCACACACACATGCATATAATTAAAATGAAAATATTACATAATGATCCAGTTTCTACTCATAGACAACCAACTGTTGCGCACCATTTGTCTAAAAGACTATTCTTTATGCCTCATGTGTTCTTAAAATCCCCATCAAAATTTTATTTGCTGTATCTACATTTGGATTCTCAGTTCTGATTAATTGATTGCTATTTCTACTTTTGTACCGATACCGTCTTTGCTCTGTGCTAGTATTATTTTTGTAAATTTAGAAAGTGACATTTCTAGTTTGTTGTTTTAAGACCATTTTAGCTACCCTGAATTCTACATTCTGCATGAAGCTAGAATCATCTTGTTTTATCTAAGAAATGTGAGATTATTTTTTTAACTCCTGAAAATCAATTAATGTAATACAATCAGTTAATGTAATTAGACTTAAAAAACAACAAACCCCACAGGATCATTTCAGTAGGCTCAGCTAAGGCATTGCACATTCATGCAGAAAGTTGTAGTAAAGTAGAAATTAAAGGGTGCTTCCTAAGCCTAACAGATATGAAAACTCCTCTATTAGCAAACCTACACAAAAGGAATGCTTTCTCTGTAAGGCAGTGCTTCTTAACCTTCTTAATGCTGTGACCCTTTAATATAGTTCTTCATATTGTGGTGACCCCCAACCATAAAATTGTTTTCATTGCTACTTCATAACTATAATTTTGCTACTGCTATTAATTGTAATTTAAATATTGTTGGAAATAGAGGCTTGCCTGAGGGGTCGTAACCCACAGGTTGAGAACCATTGCTCTAAGCTGACTAAGGTAAGTATGTTTGCTCTTATCAATTCTATTTGACATTGTCTTGGAAGTTTCAGTCAAGGAAATGTACCAAGACACAGAAAAAAAAGACTTCTAGATTGGAAAGGATGAAGTAAAATGTCTATTTGCAGATGGTTGATGATACACATGGAAAACATGAAGGAATCCATTAATAGGCTATTAGAACTAGTAAATCAGTTCCAGAGGTTGCAAGGTTCAAGATCAATATGTCAAACTAAATTATAATTATGTCCACTTGCAATGAGCAATCTAAAAATGAAATTTAAAAACAAGTTCCATTTACATTAGCATCAAAAAGAGTACACCACTCAGAAATAACTTTCACAAAAGAAATTGGAAACAGGGGTTGGGGAAATGGCTCAGTGAGTAGGAGTATTTGGTCTGAAGGAGGAGGACCTGAGTTCAAATCCATAGCACCCACATAACACTGAGCATGGCTGCATGTGATTGTAGTCAGACCTGGGGGACAGAAGCAGGAAAATCTCACGAGACTGCTGAGTATCCAGCTTCTTGTTCTGTGAAAAACCCTGTCTCTCCAGCTGAGTAGGATTATGTTGTGTATGTGAAGCACATTTTTATCATCACTGATGGATGTCTAGGCTGATTCTAATTCCCATTATCATACCAGAATGGTGCAGTAGCTGCACGACTGTTCTGGGGGTGACCAGTCATCACTCTCTTCCTCTGATTGGATTTAAGGCTAACTCCATAGGAGGGAATTCATACTTGATACTGTAGACCCAGTCTAAACCCATGGCTGAGGGGGCCTTAGGCCCGAGTAGGGAGCTTAGTACTGTCTAGATTGATATGGTGCCAGTCTGCTCTCTAAACATCTATATTTGTACCCATAGACAATTGCTGCTCTCAGCCTTAATCAGAAAAGCTTCACTTACCAATGAATGGTGGTGAATGCAGAGACTTCTGGATGCTCAAAGTACTGAGAATACGTAGAGTTTAACTGCTCAGTCCTAAACAGAACATCTGCATCACCCTCTCTAAGGTTGAGGGACCATCTCTAAAAGGGAGCAGACAGAGTGTAGAAGCTAGAATACAGAGGAAAGGGATGGAAAAATGCTTCGTTTTGGGGCACGACACAGCCATCACAATCATGATATTACAGCAACTATGGCTGCCAGTACTGAGCTTGCACAAGACTGAGGCTGTCAATAGTCAATCATGGATTTGGGAGGGGTGCATGGGGTCCTACTGTTCACTACTGGATCATTGGTTGCTGATGGATCCTGGGTGAGCACAGTGATTTTCTGAAATTGTATACACTGGTGAGTCCACCAGGCTCCAATGAATAGTTCTCAACCTATGGCCATACAGATAGATGGTCCTAGTTGAATTCAGTGCGAAACAAAGCACTATGAATGTGGGAGAGGGACTCACAGAGAAAAGGGGAGAATAACAGGAAGGGAAGGATGCGAAAGGATCAGAAGGCAAGAGTAATCCTAACACATTATATGTATGTATGAAATCATCAAAGAAAAACTTTAATAAAAATTAAAACAAAAACAAAAAAAAGCTGGGAGGAAGCAAATTTGGGTGTGTGCTCACTGTTGATTTGCTTGTAACTTCATGTTGTAAACAAGACCAGTTATTTAAATACAGGTTCCTCTTGAATGGTTCATTCAACAAATACTTTTTAAAAGATATACAACATAAAACAAGACTGGAAAATAGAAAGCATAGATCAATATAACAGATATTTTTATTATACTTTATTTTGAAGATTTATTTTTATTATATTTTTAATTTAATATTTTGATAACTTCACATGAGTTCTATATTTAAATCATTTCCATCCCTTCCTCTCTCCCTTCCAAGTTCTTTTATGTCCATCTTCAGATTCATGATCTCTCTTCTTTAATTATTTCATCCTAACCAAAATAGTTAAATCAAGAGGAGACCTCTAAACAAATATGGAGATTGGAAAGCCTTCCAACTAAAAACAGCTTATATCCAGATGGAATCACAACAGAGTTGTACCACACTTCTTTTTCTTTTCTATCTCTCTCTTCTTCTTCCTCTTCTTTTTCTTCCTTTTTACAAATACTTCTTAAAGAATTCTGTGTGCCACCAAGCAAACTTCACTCTTACTGTGGCGCTTACCATTGAGTGAAAAGAAACAAAAATAAATAAAAATAAGTTCACAGAATGAACAAGAGATGGGACCAACTTATGGTGATATTTTATTTGTATTAAAATGTTATTTGTATGTTAATAAATAAAGTTGCCCGGGGGTCAGAGCTATTAGCAAGCCATAGGAAAGCAGGGCAGTGGTGGTGTATGCTTGTAATCCCAGAGCTTGGTAGGCAGAGCTAGGTAAGTCTCTGTGTGTTCAGGGATACAGCCAGTATTGGATATACATGCCTTTAATCTCAATGCCAATCATAGAAAACCTGGAGGTCTATACAGACAGGCCATGACGAGGCAGTCATGTGGTTGGGTTTACAACCAATGAGAAGGCAGAGCAGAAACTCTATATAAAGACTTTAACACAGGAAGTAGCTCTGGTTCAGAGAGGTAGGACCACCGCAGGAGGAAGGGTAAGGTTTTAGCTCTTAGCTCTGACCTCTTGGCTTTCTTCTTTGCATTGGTTCTGTGTTTCTTATTTAATAAGACGGTTAGTTACTTCTACACCAACTAGCACTCAGGAGGCAGAGGCAGGAGGAGGCCTGCAAGTTTGAGGCCAGCTTAATCTATATAGTGACCTCTAGTTCAGTCATGGCTACATATTGAGATTCTAGCTTAATAAACAGAAGAAGAAACAAAACAAAACAATAAATGAATCAAAGGGGAGTGGGAGGAAGAGGAGGAGGAGGAGAAGGAGAAGGAGCAAGAGGAAGAGGAGGAGAAGGAGCAGCAGGAGGAGAATAGAAAGCAAAGGGAAAGAGAATGGGCACTCAAGTCATGCGGACCATTGTGTGAGAAGTAGAAGTCAGGTGGTTACAAGGTGAGAGATGCCTATGTGCTTTATGTTTAACATGGGGACCAATAGGTGTGAGGGTGAGTGAATGACAGGGGTAGCAGGAAATGGAGAGAAGACTCCAGTGCTGCTGCAATAGTTAAACAGAAGAGAGCTGATGGGGACAGCTACATTATAGGTCAGAGGCATTTAATGAGAACATGCCAGGAGGATCAGAACTTTAAGTAGAGGCCACTGATAGCATGGCTGAGGGTTAGCGAGGGAGTGGGCTAAGAAAACTCCTCTACCTGTGTGCAATACGGAAAAACTCCTTCTGCAGTGGGGGGCATGGGGGTGGGGAGAGGGGAAAGGGGCAGACAAGCCTGTGCTTGGGATATGAGTTCAGAGACTCCTTCTGTGATCCTCTTGTATGCCTTTGTTTTCATCAGGAAGAGGGTTTTGTTGGCAATCAAAATCTTCTATTCCTATTTCCCTTAGTTATGACTTCATTCTTCTCAACCACATATCACTCTTACTTGTGACAAAAACACCTCTGATGTCTAACTGTGTATATATTATTTACTGCTTGTCCTGGCAGGGAATATCTTATTTCTAGTTTTAAAAGCTATTTTAAACCTGCTGAATAGAGATACGGTTTGCTGGGTCCCATTTAATCACTCATTGAGACAAACATTTAACGACACATATGACCATTCCATCATATTTCACC